CAAACATAAACAAAGCAAACACGGGGTTTCAGATAGCTTTGTGATCTTTGAGCTGGTAAAAAATAATTGAATGTGCAGTATAAGTTGAAACAGAACAGTCTACAGTTTAATTTGTAACAATGGCTAATGCTGAAGTCATGCGAGAAAATCATTTTCCGAACATTTCTGCCTAACGGAATAATTAAAATTTGTAAATGAATTTTAGTATCAGCGGCTAAATTAATACCTTCGAGTTTTCAAGTGTTAAAATAGTAATTATAATAGTTTTCAATAGCTCAAATAGTTCTGAAGTTCTTAGAGATTTGACTGGGCGTTGTTTGACAAGGTCGGGCATAAACAAAATTTTAGTAAAAAATGTACTAGGTAAAAATGTATTTAGTAAAAATTGTATTGAGACAAAAATGTATTATTAGTGAGTTCAAAAAGAAAATTGAAAAGGTGTTGAAATAGCCTGTTCACGGATGTCAGAATAATCAAAGCTTTCACACATTTGAAGGTTGGATGAATTATTTTTCTTATATCGTATACATTCATAATACTTGGCTTATAGAATTTCAAAGTGCACTTTTTACCATTCTGAAACTTTTTCTTGAGATAAAAAGCGCCGGTATTCAAAACCTTTGCTATTCATGTCATCCTTTATCATAGGCAATTTTCAGAAGAGGAATAATGACTGTTCTGGACACACAATTCCGGAGAACACTCCACTCACAATGATAGTTGCAGTTAAAAAAAGATCGAAAGAGCCGTCTTTTCCCTTTCAGGAATGACAATTTAAAAAGGTCAAGGTATTTAAACACGAAATTAGCTGTGAACGCATACATATTGCACATTAATTTTATAAATTAAAAAAACATAAGCATTTTTCTCAAATGTAAATTTTTTTTTAAAATTTTTTTTAGAAAGCTTACCGAGTTTTAGAAAAATGTAACGATTTCATTCAACATTTCCGTTGCAAATACTTGTACTTTTCCCCCAAAAAAGTAGCGAAAGTACAAGTAAAAGTACTAAATTTGAAAAGTAACGAAGTACAAGTAAAAGTACGTACTTTTTACTAGTACAGCCGGTACAAGTAACGAAAGTAAAAGTACTGCCATATATGGTAAGAACACTCCATAAAATGAACCCTTCATCCTCTATTTATGCTTTTATTTTCATATTTTGAAACCTAGCAAACTTGTTACGAAATTATTTTAAATCATTTTTGAAAGATGCTGTTAAAAATAAGCACATATGAATTCGCTGCTCTTTCTATATCTTATATTTCGCGTTTTATTCTGCATTTTTTTGAATTTTTACTTTTTATTTTTTGCTCGATAGGATAAGTTTTATTTCACATTTTTTGCTTAATTCGCACTTTTCTCATTTCATTTGCTTTTGGTGCTCCTCACACTATTGATATATTTTGCTTTGACTACAATAAATAATACGGTATTAGAAAGCACTTTTTTTGCTAATATAATCGTGCTTGATGATGACGGGATTATATCTTTTCCTTATTTTGTTTTCCGACAGTTTTATACATTTTTTAAGGTTTTAAATTTTAAATGTTTTTGAACATATTTCCTCTTAATATTTTCTTCTACTTCTCTTTTTCTCTTTTAAATTTTTTGTTAATATTTGTTTCCATGATTTCTCTATATTTTCAACTTTTATGTGCATTTGATTCATATAAATCAAGATTGTTAGTGCATATTGGAAAATAAAAATACTTAAAACACTTGCAGATATTAAAATGAAAAAATTTAAACATTTTCTTTTTACTTAGTATGCTTTGTTACGGTCAAAAATACCAAGAATATACTTTTCGAAATTATTTATTATTTTTATTGCATACATTGCTCACCTAATCCCTTATGACATTTTGCATATATTTATAATCCTTATACATTTACTAAGAAATGTAACATTTCCATTTTACTTTGCAAGTTTTGTTCAGGTCAAAAATAATGAAAAAATATTTCTTATAATTTATTTTTATTTTCCATGAAATCTTGTTCTACAGTTACACATACAGTTACACATACGGTTACAATATTTTTCTATTCTTACATTTTCTTTTTAGTTTCTGTGGCTTGTTAAGGTAAAAAATAACAAGTAAATATTTCTTAATGTTTTTCTTTAAAATTTCCATTTCATCAACTTTTTCTATATTTTACTACCCATCCACCTATTTACAAAATCTTTCTACATCCCCAAAAATACAGAGGATATTTTTTACAAAGAGTAATTTGTTAATTGCCTAGAAAATAGCAAGAAAATATTTTAAAATTCCTTTTGATTTCCATTGCCATTGATTTAAAATTCAATATCATTCTAACTTTTACATTTTTTAAATATTAGTAAATGACATTGCACAATTTAGGAGTGTATAAATTTATAATAACGTCCAAATTTGCTGCTGTCTCAATAAGGTGCACATCTGTATACGTTGCAAGCTAAGTAGGAAATACGGCTCTTTGCATATCGCCAACGTCACTTTTTGGCTAACTGCTGTCAATCTTGCAGTTCCATTGCGAAGTTCAGACGGCAGTTTTCAAAGAGCAGCCGGATTTTCCTTTTGGCTTATGATCAATGTATACTAAGGGTCATCTTAAATCTTGAATTGTTTTTCAATTTTATGCTTAAATAAATTGTTAATTCTTGTATGGTATCATGGTTCAAGTAACGATGTCATGGTTATGATCATCATGGTCAACTTTTTTTCAAAGCTTATCTTTCTTAGATAAAGTGATCACCCTGAATTTCGAAGAAACCAAGTCCATTTACGGTCTCTTCTCTGAACAGTGTTCCATTTAAGATTTGTGTTTCCTATGTGGATTTATTTAAATTGTTTTATATGTGAGAAAAAGTAGCATTTCGTTTCGAATGGGATTTTTGTAATATATAATTTTGATATTACAGCTGTTGCAGATAATGGAAAATGTGTCGGGAAATTTTACAAAACGATTACGGAAGATCGCCTCAATAAGTGTTTACAAAAAATAGAGGATGAAAATCGTGAAAAATATGAAGAAATTGTTTATTTTTCAAATGATTTGAAAGATGAAGAAAGAGAATATTGCTTGTAAGTATACAAACAGAATTAAAATGATTTACTTCTTTTCATGAAGTAACTTTAAATATAATAAAATTATTTTATAAAGTTTCCTGTTAAGTAATATAATTATAACCAATATTAACTATCACTAATATCTATGAGAAATGAAATGCTACATCTTAAAGTGCTCAATTGAGTTGATTGTATTCAAAGTTAAACGCCTTTACAGCCTTTCAAGTGGCGATCATGTGTAGACTAAATCAGTATGCAATGCAGGAAAGAAATTAAATACTTAACAAACTGGGTTTTGGCTAAAAGGGTTAACTCAGAGAAATCTGTATTGAAAAAAAAAGAAAAAAAGATTTGCTCTTCCAGGAATACTGTCTGTCTAACTGAAGAACTCCTCTTGATTGTCGTCTGGAATACTGTCGATTACCATGGTTTTGAAGTTAAATAATTTCTAATGAGGGTGTGAATTAAACATTAGAAGCAGGTTGTGAAAGAAGTATTAATTTTCTCCTCTTTGTAACTCTTTTTTAATTGTTTCCATAGCAACAAACAACTGGAAGAGTTGTTTCGTTAGACAGATAGTATTCAACAGAAAAATTGAGGTAAACATGCAATGAAGTAAACATGACTCCATAGTTATGCTTCTCCAGTAAAACTTTACTTAAGTTAAGAGTCAAGCATTGATTTCACTAAAATTTAATCTTTGTGCCTTGAGTATATGTTTCAATTTCCCCACTTGAATTTGGTACAGCATAGCCGAATCAGTCTTTTGTTTTATATTTTATCCAATCTGGTCGTTGGTTGTTGAACATTTTACCAATCTGGACGAAAATAAGAGTTAATCTCACTTTTTTTTCAGACGAAGCACCCTCAACTGTTCTGAAAACACGGTTTGCTTCCTTCAATCTTCACAAGATCAAAAATTATTGGCGATTAAATGATAATAAAAAAAATTCAATAAAAGATTGGGAAATAATAATACTCAAAAATAAGTTTTTCAAGAAATTTAATAAGGTTCTTAATATAATTTTTCATAGAAAATTCTTAAGCTAAACGGTTTTCGTAATTGCGTCAAAAATGTAGTTGAAACATGTATTGGTTAGTTAAATATTCACTAGATTGAAAATTATTAGCGATTTTTAATATTTTCACATGATAGGGGACATTTATATGATAGGGACATTTTTCGGTAAGTGATTGAGGAATATTCAAACATTATTCAAAAATAAGTTTTATCAAGAGATTTAATAAGGCTCTTAATATAATTTTTCATAGAAAATTCTTAAGCTAAACGGTTTTTGTAATTGCGTCAAAAATGCCATTTAAACATGTTTTACTTCGTTAAATGTTTACTAGATGCAAAATTATTAGCGATTAGATGGTAGAGAAAATTTTAGATCAGCATTTGAGGAATAATAATATTCAAAAATGAGTTTTTCAAGTAATTTAGTAAGGTTTTCAGTAACTTTTTGAGGAAAATCCTTAAGCTAAACCAGTATCATAATTGTGTCAAACATGTTTTTTTTAAACGCAATTTGCTTCCTTAAATGTTAACTAAATCAAAAAGTTTAGAAATAGATGATAAGAAACATTTTTTGAAAAACAGTTGGCAACAATGACAAAATTAAAAAATATTATAAATAAGTTATGCATTCTTTCGAACAGTTTGGACATCATGCAAACGAGTTGTCTGGCTGATGCAATAAGTGTTGATTGTGGAAAAACTGCAAAAGAACTATTTCTGCATATATTACAAGATATAGGAATGAATAATTTAGTCTGTGAGAATCATCAAGACGATGCAAAAAATTTCACGAAGGAATTGAGCCTAAATTTGAAGCCTGAAAATTCAATGGAGGATTTCATAGCCCTCCTGGAGAATGAAACAGAATTTGTCTGAACTAAGAATAAAATTTATTCCTACATTTAGAAATACAATGTTATCTAATGTAAAGTAATTGTATTCAAATTTGTCATGTAAATAAATATATATATTCAGAAATATTCTATTTTTGATTTCCTTAAAACATTATAGAATTGATTGCATCAGCATGTACACGAAAACAGGATATGAAGATGATTAGCAATTTTGACCATATAAATGCTGCCCAAACAAAAAGACTCTAGCTGCCAAATTTCCTTATATTGTTTAGAGAATGACTCTAAGATCAAAAAACTAACTAAACATTTAACTAGAACATCCTTAGCACAAATTATGTAATATTTGAAATATCTATTGGAGATCAATGTGATTAAACTAAATATATTGCTCTTTAGAAAAAAAGCATGAAAGACAATACATGAGAAAGACATTTCATTTCACATATTAAGAAATGTCAACACCTTTCTTAATTAAAAAAATGTTTTAAGTGATACACAAAACATAGAAGAAAATCCATAACATATAGGTCCGTAATTTTCTTATAATTTTCATGAAACTTTCAGCCTACCGTTAAATAAAATTTGGAAATAACTAGAATCTCAAAATTAGCTGCGGTAGAACCATGTTTTTTTTTTATCAATTAAAGATTAGAATACTGACTAATAGGACATGCATCTCGAAATCTAATTAAACTTTTACCTGGACTGCACTATGTAAAAGAAAGCAAAGGTCTTTTAAAAAACTTTTAATACTTTGATAAAATTTTCATGAGCAATTTTAAGAAACTATTATATTGTTAACTGGACTATAAATTAAATAAGGATTAAAAAAATTAAAAAATAAATTTCATTTAAATATAAGAATTTAAATCAACATAGCGTTTTAATCATTGGTGCGACACTTTATCTAAATCTCCACTTGGTACATTCCCATTTAAAAATGGTATTTAAGATCGATACTGTCTTCTTGGGATTTTATTCATCCACAGACCGGCAGCAGCTTGTTGGTTGAACTATTTAAGAAAAAGAACATTTTAGAATATTTAAATGGGCAAATTAATGCTATGTTATGAATGTTAAATGACATAAAAAAGTTTAGATTTTAACAGTAATGAAAAAAAAAATGTGCGAAATTTAATATGAAAGGCAAAATTAATTTTTTTCACATACTGTAGGCGTACAATTTACTTTTCCATTAATTAAGATGCAGAAATAAACAGAATTCCAAAATTACATGCACTAGGAACATAATGCTGTTAGGCCATGCAACCCGAACTCCAATTCAACCTTTACTTGGCACGTCTCCAGCACAAATTTTATGATGTCTTGTATCTCCGTGTGATTTCAATCTGTTTCAAATTAAGAAATTGCTTCTTAATGCCAACAACAAGTGAATGGTTGACCTTTAATATAAAATATTAGAAAATCAAATTGCATTAAAAGCTAATACTAAAATTTGAATGAAGCAATAATTATGCAATTAACGAAAATTACATTTCTAAAAGACTTTGATAAATTGTAACAAGCAATTGTTAATAAGAAAATTATAGTAGTTTTAACTTTCAAATTAAGTAAAAAAAGTATTTATAACAATGTTTAATTTTAATATGAGAGTTCAAGCTCAACTTAGCTTTTTATTGAGTAGTATCACACTTAGTCTAAAACTCCACTTGGTGCACCTTTTCCTTAAAAAGCGTTTTCCTTTAGTACTATACTTTTTTGGCTTCACTGATCTACTTCAGGGGTGATGTTCACTTATCATTGCTGGAAAGAAAAATGTACAAAAATTTTAATTTATTACTCTAAATTATGCTATAAACGTTATTTGATACAGAAACAAATGGTTAAATTTAATTGATGATGTTAAGAAAACTTTGAGAAGTCATTCTAAATCACGTTTTTTTCTTCATATAGACTCAAGTACTCGTCATTTTCCTGTTAATTAAGAGTCGGAGATAACTGGAATTCCAAACCTAAATGCACCAGAACCATGTTTGTTTTATAAATCAAAGATCAAGTTTACTAGCTGTTAGGCTATGCAACCCGAAATTCAATTGAACCTTTACCTGGCGCATCTCTAGCACAAAATTTTGCAATGTCTGGTATCTCTTAGAGATTTCAATATATTCATACTGAAAACATTGCTTTTTAGCAAAAAAAAATGGATATTCAATTTATTTTTCACTTTGAAGAAAACTCATTTAAATAAAGGAAAAAAGTCTAAAATAATTTAAATATTACTAAATATAAATCATTCACATTTTCTTGCGAATTTTTAATGTCGACTCCGATCAAGAATAAATAAAAAACTAACACAACAATCGAAATATTTATCAAGCATGTCATTTCTTCTTACAGTTTTGGAATCAGAAATATTTCTCGAATTATGGCTATTTGAGTTTCAATATTTCAACTAATTGATCGTATTATATTAACCTATGTATCTTTCAGTTAATAAGACTAATTTTAATTTAGAATTTAAAACTATAAGAAATAAAAATTTGAGTCTTTCAAAAAAGTAGTTCAGAATTTCAGCAATACTTCATTCGACAAATATAATCATAAAATTAATCAATAATTCAAGTACTTATTTTAGAACATTTTATACTGTTTCATCGAGCCATTTAATGGAATGCATTTTTATATGCAAGCCTTACCATTTATATTTATATATTTTAAGCAAAGAATACTTACTTTTTGTCAATGTGTTAAAATAATAGAAAATTGTTCCTTTATTATACTAATGAAGATTTAATGCAACTAGAAATAAAGTAAAGACATTGATAATATTATTGAAATTATTTACTTTATAAATATCAACAAGTATACTTACCACAAATCACAAAGATACTATCTTGCAGCAAATATTTATGAGTTACATACTTGTTATGAATTATGTTTTGCCCCCATTTTGCACAATTTTGTTTCATAAGGCTACCCATGCTTAGAGTCAATTTTGTATAGGGATTTTAAAAAAAACATATTAAATAAAAATCGATAACCTTAAAATCACTGGCTTTCTTTGAAATGTTTCAAAAACTTTCCAACTTGCTAGATTTCTCTTCGAATTATGTTGTACACTCTAGAGACGTGGTTAAAATTGAAGTTAACTGATTGTAATCTTTTGCCTAATGAATAAAATAAAATAACTCAAATGCCTTTATCTACGGTTATTTTAAAACCTTCATACAGAAAATATATTGCTTTCTCACAACGAAATGTTTCTGTAACCCAAGCAGTAAAGGATAGAGATACTAGTTAATGCATATATATTTTAAATAAAAAAGATTTAATACTTAATTAAATTAAAATGAATTTCAACTCTGAGAGGAAAAGTATGTTAAAGCTACCAGAATAGTGTAAAACTTTGGTACTATGAGAGATCAACATGAGAACACCATGTTGGTTCAGCAAGTTTTACCGAAATTCTTGGTTAATGATTTTAGTATGATTAACAACGAAATATGGTTTTATAATATGCGCAGCAATTTGGAAAATGTGTTGCTTTGAAAGCTTAGACAAAACATGCATAAAATTTCTCTGTTTGTTTGAATTATCAGGAGATAAAAATGATTTCAAAGCTTTTCATTTTGTCTCTTGCCAAATATGGTGGTGAGTTTTGTGTACTTTTCTGTTTTGGAGGGAAAAGAAAAAATTGACAAACATTTGTTGACTTCGGTCGTCTTCAAATAATAAGTATTAGTAGTATTGGAATAATCGTTAATAGATACTGCGGTAATAGGTACTTAATATTGTAATACAGTTATCAAACAGAGTAATACATGTACCTAAAAATATAATGTTGAAATAGGTTTTACACCTCTCCCAAACATAGAAATACCGATTTTTCACATGTTTAAAGTTTTTGTAACTTTATGATGAAAATATTCAAATTGTTCTCTATGTAGGTCAAATTTAATTTTAATATATTTTTATTTAATATTTATTTTATATTCGGTGATAATAAGCTCAGATATTTATTATTATTATATTAGTGTGAAACTTGCTTTTTTCCAAGTAACAAATAACTTTAAATATAGTACAATGAGTGTTGCATATTTAAAATAGGAAAATAAATTTTACTTATTTGGAGCATTTATTATTTTATAAAATGCGATTATGTAAAAGGGACAGTCTACGGCACTTAATATTTGATTACAACACGTTTCATTTGTGAAAAAATAAACAATTTTAAAACACTTTTTTGTCTTTTAACTATGGTTTTGTTGTCTTTGATTGAAGTAAATTTGAATGAATGAATTTGTTTTGTTTTCAAAGGAAATAAAATATAATGGTTTTCGAGGTGGAAAAAAATTGGTAACAAAATTGTGAGAAACAAGAAATTCTTATCAAAGGGATACAAGAAGAATTTTACACAATATTAGGGGATTTTCAAAGTTACTTTCCTTTTAAAATTTGCAATTTTTTTTTCGTTCTCTAACATTTAATTCAAAATATTCAACGAATACTATTTTTGAAACTGCATTGCATTCAAACTTACAGCTTAGTTTTTAGAATATAATGAAATATAGTCAAATTTAATCAGGAGCTTCAAGTATTGTTCTGTTGAAATTTTCTTTTTTTGAATTACTTATTAAAAGAACTAAAGTTGTTCGAATAAATCCAGGCATTCAATATTCTCCTTCAACAAAACAAAACAACACAATGTTATGTTTTTCTGAAGTAGAATTTTGATTGATAATAAGGTTTCTGTAAATTTTTCTCAGTACTCTATGAATATAAATCTTTTAAATCCGAAAAATATTAAAAAACATTAAACGTTTGCTAAAATATAGCTACTTATATTTTTCGTTCAAAATTCAATAACAACTTCCATCCAAACTTCTAAGAATATCCAACAAATCATTTACACAATCGGAAGAAAAATTGTGTATTTCATTGTTGAGATACCATTGCTAAAATAAGAAAATAATGCTATAGTTTAATTTTAATATTTATACAGAATTCTCGTTTGTTGAAGAGATACTGACAACAAGGCTCAAATATTTTTTATCGCGTTTAAGTAACAGTTAATCTATTATTCAAATTGGATGGATGTTATCATTAAATATACTAATCTGAAGGGAATTAAATTAGTATAAGCATCATTTTTAAACTTTAAA